TTTTTGAGTTGGAGTCTCACTCTGTCACCCAGGCTGGAGTGTAGTGGCATGATTCTCCTGCCTCAGCCTCCCAAGTAGCTGGGATTACAGGCACGTGCCACCACACCTGGATAATTTTTGTATTTTTAGTAGAGACGGGGTTTCACCGTGTTGGTCAAGCTGGTCTCGAACTTCTGACCTTGTGATCCGCCCGTCTCAGCCTCCCAAAGTACTGGTGTGAGCCACCGTGTCTGGCCTTCACTTATACTTTCTTGTCATAAATATACCTCTGGTGAAATTTTGTTAATTCCTTTTTAATTTTTGCTTTTCTACTCTGACTTTAAAAATTATAATACTTTGCTTTTCTAAAGGCTTTCCCTGAAATATTATTTTTGTCTAGTCTGATGTTTGAAAAGCTACCTTCCAATTTCTATCTTTTTCCGTATTAATTTTTAATGTAAAGATCTAAAGGCTCTAGAGACTAGATAGAGAACCTTTTATACATTTCTGTTTTATCTGAATGAAAAAATAATTTTGATGTGATATGTTCTGTAAAAGAGGTGTGAACAGAATACTACGGGAACCCATACAACCAGTGAGTTCAGTCTGTGATACCTTATCTCCAACTGTGTGCTAGATGTTTTTTCTTTGATATATCTTTATATTTCTTCTTTTTATGCCCATTTAAGAAATCTTTGTCTTACCCAAGGTTACAAAGATTTTCTTCTAGAGTTTTTATATTTTTTGCCTTTAGGTCTATGATTTATTTTGAGTTAATTTTTGGTATTGTGTGAGACAAGAGTCAAAGTTAACTTTTTCCCATATAATGATAACCATAATTCACCAATATCTGTTTTAAAGATTATCCTTTCCCCATTGAATTATCTTGGCACCTCGGTCACAAACCATTTGATTATTAAGTATGGAATTATTGCTAGATTATCTATTTTATTTTATTTTTTTTACAGCAAAACTATGATCAGGTAGATTCTCTATTTTATTGCCCTGATCTGTGTATATATCTTAATGCCTTAACCATAATGCCTTAATTACTATAGATGTATAGAAAGGCTGACATTTTTTTTCTAAGTTGTTTTGGTTATTCTATGCTTTTGCATTTTTCTATAAGTTGTAGAATCAGCTTATCAATTTCTTCAAAAAAACCCTTCTGGAAATTAATGGGTTTGCACTGAATTAGAACAATTTGGAGAGAATTGCCTTCTCAGTGTTATTGAGTCTTTCAACCCATGAACATGGTATATTCCTCCATTTACTTAGGCCTTCTTTTATTCCCTTTGCAACTTTTTGTAGTTTTCAGTGTTCATATCTTGCATGTTTTGTGCCAAATTTATTCCTAAGTATTTTGGTTTTTGATACTATTATAAATGGATTAACTTTATT